CGAACAGATGGATGGACGGATATGTCGTCCATCTATCTGTTCGATCAACGCAGGATTTTGCGCTTAACACTCCTTTACTCCTTTAGATGATTACAAACTCCATACCAAAGTTTATATAGCATTCATGAAAATGCAGGGTATAAAAATAGTCTTATAGAACACTAAATTCAAATTTTCATCGAATAGAGCTGACTTCTTTCTTAATTTTTCTGACATATCAAGTTTCATAAAATTGTTATTATGTGGGTTTATCTCAGCTCATATCCTTTTTCCATATTATATGCTTTTCTTTTTCTTTTGTATAATATGAGGCCACCATATTTAATGAACCAATTACACTTAATTTCTATATCTAAAAGATTATTTCTTTGAGGTTTTTTATACCAGATAAATTATACAAAAGAAATTACTCCTAAAAAAACGTCTAGATGCAGTTTAAGTTAAAACCATTAAAACCCTAACTTACTTTGTTCTTTAAGCTCACATCATAATGTAATTGATATTCAAAACCATTTTACTAAGGTTTTCTATATTAAAAAATTATTTAATTGAGTTGATCCAAAGAGAAAATTTTTACTTAAACAAAAAGTAAAGGATTACATTGATGTCCCGTACCATGGAAAAAAAAAAGGAAAATTTTCAAATCATGGAAAAAACTTTGATTTCGTATTTGTTTATCCTTTCTATTTTCAACGAAAAAAAAAACAAAAAAAAAAAATAATAATAAAATCTTTGTTTTTGACAAGGTTAATTGAATAAATTACCTTCAAAGTAAAAAGTTAATAAAAATACACAAACACATACATACACAAATTTTTATAATTTCGAATTTTTACAGTGATATAAACTTTTTATAAAATATAAGATAAAATAAAAAATATTGAAAAAAATTATTCAATTAATATTACGGATGAAGTTTTAAGTATAATGAAGTTAATAAGGATCAACTCCTCTTTAATATTTTTATATGGCAGCATTATTTTCACACTGCTTTAGTAAAATAAAATTTTAAATTTAATTACACAAGCTCCATGTATAGTCAAAGTATTTTACGAGCAAATGGAAATTACATGTTTTTCGTTTACAACGTGGACCCAAAGGTGTATAACATCAAAAGTTTACATATGCAATAGAAGTGCTTAATATATTTAATAACAAAAATAATTAGGTAATCACAAAATATATATGGACTATAAATGTTAATAAAAATTTAAAAATTAAAAATAATATTTTAGTTTCATAGTCAGAATGAAGTCACATATGCGAAATAATTGGATTCAATTTTCAAATGAAAATGTGCATTAACTCAGTATTTTTAGCGAAAATTTTTTAAACAAATTATTGCAACACAATAAAATCCAAACCTACTACTACTAAAAAATTATTTAACAAAGTGTCATTAAAAACAATATCAATAATAGAGTTAGGTTTTTGTGGTTGACATAATAAGCTAGGTTTTTATTTGAACTCTTTACAACACCTCCCAAACATATATCTATCGCACACGCGATATACAGTAGAACCGCACTTATGCTAACAAATATAAAAGCTACATTGTTAAAATACTAAAAATGTGTTCGCCCTGAAAAATTTCATAAAGACTGAATTTGAAGTTTTTTTATTAAAAAATTTAGGAAAAATTTAATATATTGGAGATAACCGTAAAGTTATAAAGGGCTCTCTCTAACTTTAACTCTCCTTGGCCTGAATTATGTCAGTCTCTCTTAGGCCTGAAATATGTTAGCCTTCAAATAAATATCAATAATCATTTTTGGATTTTTCTATGCATCAAAAAGAAACGGATATAAAATAAATTTGACTGAAAGTAATAGCAAAGTAATTATCATGTCAAAAACAGTTAATATATGCATGAGCTCACGGAGAAAGAATCATGAAGAAATTATTCTTGAATAATTAACACCACGAAATATCGGAACCAGAATCTTTTTATACGACTATCTTTAGAAGAAACTTTAGAAAAGAAGAATTTTTTTTTAACACTTTTTCAACTTTCAAGCTTTAATACGTCATCTATTGGATTTTCTTCACTTCTTATCTTCATGTAACTATGTCTACTGTAGTCTGCAGTTCATACAAAGGGTTTACTGTAGACACAATATGTCATAATGAATAAATAAACATTGTGAATTAGAAAAAAAAGAGATAGAGCGTGTTCTTTTCAAGAGTATGTTATAATCCAAGCATAGAAATCTTCAAACGCACAATAGGCCAGGCATACCATAATACAAGCCTATATTACAATTCTAGTTAAATCTTTCTTAATAAAAGAACGAGTAGGAGACCTGATTAGACGGGTCTGTTCCGGTAGACTCTTTGTACTATTAGAATGAAAATAAATGTCCAATAGTTTAGTTTTTAATTCTCAGTCCCGTATAGCAAAATTCCAATCTCAAACCCAATTCCAATTTCAAACTTATTTCAACGAATTTCAATTATTGTCATAAAAGTTATTTGGAACATTATACACCCCTAAAGGAAACATATTCACAATTTATTTGCATAGATTTTGTTTTTATAAAAACCACAATTGCATTATTCAATTGCAGACACATAAATAATTAAAATTGTTTTATCAAATACAAAAAAAAAAAATACAAACAAAAAGCATTCAATTGAAAATAAAATAAAAAAAATTCAGTCAAAAATTGAAATTTATTTTCATTGTTTTTTGTAACTGATAATTAAATTTTTAAATAATCTATTCACACAGCCAAATGTAAAAGAACAAACAATCTAAAATAGTGTTTTAATTTGATAAATAGACTAGAAACATTTGATTAACATCTCTGACATCTATATTTGACAACGGATTGGTTGTTTATATGAAAAATTAAATGTAAGAAAATAGCATCGGCCTAGGTGCGATTAGACTGCCTTGTAAAAAATTAATAAAATAATTTCAATTCAATTTTAAAACAAACTTTGTTCAACTCTATTCTGCCAGACTCCCAAGTGTCTGATCAAAAATGTAATAATTAGATCATTTTCAAAATGCAAGTGTGGTCTTTGTATTAGGTTTTCAGTCTTATTGTTTGGAGGTGTTGAAATTTTATGGGTAAAATAATTTTCGATTTGAGATTTATTAAATTAAGGATATTAAATCAAAATACTTTACTCTTTGCTCATTTATGAAATTTTTAGTATGCAGGTCTAGTATAACTCCAAAAACTTACAATAACAATGAGAATGTAAATAAGAAATATTTTTATATTCTTTAAGAACAGAACAGCTTATCTTTAATCACATTTATTGTGTCATTACGAAAATAACACCCTGTATAATAATAAATTTAAACTAAGATCAATTAATTTTAAAACAATTGTATTTTATGTTGTACGTGTACAAACAAAGATACATGTACACATATTTATATATATATATATATATGATTGTTGGTAAATTGAAAATTGTTAAATGTCATAATTATAAAATATTTATTATTATTTTTAAAATTTATTGTAATTTTGCCATATACAAGTACATAATTCGGCATAGATAAATTTAATGTATGTGGTTATGGATATATACATATAAAATTTAGGTATATGATGTATGAGGTATATGTATATAAAATATAATGAAACCTGATTAGTATTATGACTACCGAAATTAAGTACTTGTGAGTGAATCGATTAAAAATTTCAATATACATAAATGCATATTGCATCCTCTTATACTCGTATATTTTCAGAATATTCTTTAAAAGATTTTAATTTTCAATAAAAATTCATTGCATTAACATAATTGGATCATCAAGGACTAACCAAGTTATAATCCGGAAGAAACTTTAGTAATTATAATGCTTTTTGGCAACTAAATGAAATTAAAATTTTGTAAAGCAAAACTAAATTTTAAATTTATTTTTAATTGCAGCCTAAGACAAATCGGAATTTCATGCCAGAATTTTTATGTGCTTGCTAACAACACATCCGTCATTATACTTCAATTCGTATGGTTCTATAATGTAATTCGTATGGTGCTATACTGCAATATAGTACACTTTAGTTTCTTTTACTACCGTTCAAATTCCAATATACAAATAAGTTGAAATTACTGAGACATACTATCTTTTAAAAATATGTTAAAAATTAAAGAAGACCTCACTGAAAACTAATTCATGAGAATTTTGTCGCAGCCAAGGAGTTGCAGAACATCTTGTTTCTTGAGAGGTTTCAATTTAGGATGTGTTTTCTAAATTTGTAAAAAAAGAAACATTGATATATAGAACTATATCGTATCAATGTTAATTTTTCTTAGACCCACTTTTCTTGAATTAAAATTAAATGGATTCAAGGTTCGCAAACAAAAATTTTAAAGCTCAACTCGTATATGTTATATAGGTGACATAACTATATTCTGCAACTGTTGAAACGAAAGAAATTTTTTTCCAGTTTTACTTGGGTCTTCTATTTAATGGTAGTCTACAAACCAAATGGCCTAAAATTTTTAAAAGCATAAGTTTTTATGGAAGCTATAGTTCATTAGAAGCTGTTCAATGAATCAATATTAATTTCTTTTCAGAATAAGTTATCCACAAAATTTTGGGGAATTTGGGGATACTGTACCACGAATGGGGTACAGTAGACTAGACTTTCAGAAATGTTTTAAGCAAATTTAAAATTCTAATCATAATTGCAACCGTCATGTTTGAATTTTGTTTCACTTAATATAGAAGATTTTTAAAGAATTTAAGAATACATTGGATGTTTTCATGTTTCAACAACATCTATTGTAAAGCAAGCATCGCAGAATTATAAAATTTTAACAAGGGATGCCTCTATTTTCAAATCTTCCACAATCTCCATTTGTTATAGATTTAATTCCCAGCATTTGGTGAGCGTACTTATAACATATTAAAATGCAATGTTCGATATATATGCTCATGATTTTTTAGGCGAAGCTGTTAGAATTTTACAAATGAATTTTAGTACTTAATTATTTAAGAACATCACAATTAAAAATTAAAAAAGTATACTTACGCTGGCATCAGTTGTATCATACCACGTCGTTAAAAGTCTAATATCTATTTCTGGATCTATTTGAGCACTGTTAGTCATATTGCTAATTGTTTATTTCAAAATCTATTATACTATTTTCTATGATTAAAAACTATTTACATTTGAATTTTTTTTTTACATTCTACCAATTCGACTCTTGTTATTTTTTTTTATTAAAATTTTTTATTTTGTTATTTAAATTTTTTGTTCATATTTGAAGCATAAATTTGAATTTTTTTCTCATACCTTTTTAAAATCACAGTTAAATTTGATTTTAACTCATATTGAACTTTATTTTTTTTTTTGTAAATCAATTATTTATTGTTGTCACATAATCCACTTGTGTCATCATTTTTAATTTTGTTTTTAATCTTTTTTTTTTTGTAATAAACTTTACCACAAAGGCGGCTTTTGCTATTCACAATATAATTGTCATATTTTTCCAATTGGTTTTTTTTAAATACTTTTGCATGACAAACAAAAAAACAATGTTTGGCATAGTTTTATGGTTAATGCCAATTTATTTAACCGGTAGAATAGAAGTAAGCCTCTCCAATTATTCTGGGTATTACAAAAATTTAAATATTTATCAATAGGGCACAACTTAAACTTATTAATAAGATAAAATGCTATTGTGTATTATTCAAAGCAGAATATTATGCAGGCATGCTCAAATTCTTATTGGAGTTATGTTGTCGTGTTATTTGGTACAGTAATTTTTAAAAATTAATTAAAATATTGCTCTTAATTAACTCGTAAATTGCAACACAACACTACATCCATTAAGCAATCCTGGTCTGATTGTCTATTATTGTAGCCATGCTCATTTGACAATGAAAAAGGTGAGGTCCTACAAAATTTAGTTATTATTTTTATTGCAAATATTTTGCCTAATAAGCAAAATAAAATTTACAGGACTGTATTTCAAAATCGATTACACAATATACTAGTATTTGATAATGAATTCGAACTATTACTTACTATTCAAGGATTTTTCTTACTTTTATAAGAGATTTTTCAAGAAAGAGATTTTAATAGCAAAGTTCTCTTACTAGATTAATTTTCTTAATAAAAATTATACTGTTTAAGATGTACAGTTTAGCACTTTTCCCAGAACGTAATTTACACAGAATTTGCAAAGATCTTAAATTCAATTACTTTTTGATGCTAGCGTCATGAAATCCAGTTTTTGTTGCTAACGCAAATTATTTTTTTGCATTTATTTATGTTTTACTGCATTTACAAAATTTAATTGTTAAAAATGACTTATTAAATCAAGTAGAAAAATGGAAAACAGGTAAAAAAAAGCAGAGTTTTGTTTATAAATCATAACATATCAGATGACAAAAGTTGCTTTATTTGCATATGATTGACAAGATCGCCGCACATTGATAATTTTCTAAGAATTCTAATTCAAAATGTAATGTAATTGCAATCTTAATTTAACAGCTGTCTTTTCTTGAGTATATTTTGACTTACAAGTACAAAGCCAATACAAAATAAATTAAAGCCACTAACATAAAAATGTTTAAATTATTTCAAGTTCAACAACATATTGATACAAATATCAAATTTTCTCAATATTAAAACCAAAAAGAAGAGCCGCAAATCTTACATACAATTTTATTTAGATTATTACTTAAATCTCCTCATACACATACGCTCTATTTAATTTCAAGAAATACATCTTTTCATCTTATATATGACTTTCAAAGTATAAGTTACTTGATATAATACCCATTCTAGTTCAAAAGAAATGTGAGCCCTTTTACAAATACATAGTTTTTTTTTTAATGTACTTAAAAAAAAACTAGAAGATTTACATGTTACGCAAAATTTTAACTTTTTTTTTTGGTATCCTCTTTTAAAAAGAGAAATTTCCCTTAAAAAGAAATCCTTTAATCGGGTATTTAGTAAAAGTATATAGAGAATTTATTTCAATGCTTTTATTAAGTTCATAAAACTTTCATTACATGCTCATAAAATTCTTCTTTTTATTTGCCTTATATTGAAGGAAATTAATTTTTTAAAAAGTAAAACAGAAAATTATTTAACAAACTAGAAGATATCTCTTTTACATATGTAAGAATAAACCTACTCAAAATTATATATTTGTGTATAAAAATGTGGTTACGCAGTATTTTCCTTTCATAAATATGAACTTTCGTTTTCAACTGTACGATGAGGTTTTTTTTTTTTTATGAATCCAAAATATTTTAGTATTCTATTATTTGTGTGTTTATTTGTAATATTTATTTTAATGTTAAATATAGCTACGTTATAAGTTTAAATATGTGAGCAACTATTTATGATATAAAGCACAATGTGTGGAACCTACAGTCCCCGTATTTATTTTGTACGTTCCATGAATATTTTTGAAAACCTCATAAAATCTGTTTCAGTGGTTTAAATGGTGATGTAGGTATATAGTTAGAAATAAAATTTTAATTTTATTTCAAATTAATCTCAAAACCAATCAATTTTTGCTGAGTTACATTTCCGCAACTGCAAGCTTTTCCAAATTTCTATAAAAGCAAAAATCTAATGATAAATTTTATGGTATCAAAAATTTCTTATATTCATCTTAATTCACTTGCTTAAATCTCTAAATTCCACCATTATTTTCTTGAATTATTTTTTTTTTCATCCTAAATGTATGCAATTTTTTGATATATAAAAAATTAAATATGTTCTGAAGAACTAAGATCCTTGAAATCCGTTTATTCATTTTGGAATCATTTAAAGGTAGCATATGTCTGACATAAAGTATATAAGTATTCATATAACATAACATGAATAAATGTAATTACATTATAAGGCGAAATATATACATTGGTTTAGTTCTTAAGTAAAATTTAAGTCTTCTCTATTTTATGTGATACTAAGAATACGCACAATATATTTGTAAGTAATGAATTACATATTGCTTTATTTAATATTAAATAATTATTTCATAAATATAAAATTAATTCATTAAGTTACATATATTATATGCGGCTCGATATCTTTTACAGGCAACATTTATAACATTTTCAATGTATTTTTAAAGGCATAATAGAAAAGAAAACTGCTGTGGCCTGTCACATAACAGATTAAAAAATGAATTTAGTTTATTCTTGATCATTTAGAAATTATAAAGCATAGGAATTGTAAACTTATAGAGGATAGCTTTCTAGAACACAATTTTCCTTATATAGTTTGTTAGCTGCTGCCGTTATTAAACAGAAATCAATAAATTCAAAAACTTCAAGAAATTTCCTTAACTATTCCCTTATTCTCCTATTCACAGCTCAATTTCCAGATCCTGATTTTACAAAAAGCTTCCCAGTTTACTGTTCTAACAAGTAACAGTGAGGAATAAATCTTATGAAAAAACAAAGTTGCTTTGGGGGCACCTTCGAAAAAATACTGTTCCATTATATTATCAAATGGATAGAGCGGTAAACCGACCCAATTACATTTCGTTTCTCCATCACAGAGAAATGAATTCGGTAACCTGGTAAAAGTGGTTTCATTACAATACCTCCCTTATTACATGCAACGTAGTACAAAGCCAAAGATTAAAAAAAAAGTATTCATCGTTGGATTAAGTAATTTTTCATTCGCTTTTTGTTTGTTTCTTATTTTTATTTGCCTTAGAATATGGCTAATTTAAGGATGGTGTATTTGAGGAAATGAAACTACCTATACTCGTATATGCATGTAGGAAATTGTTTTGCTGAAAAGACTTTGTGTTGTAGTGCTGAGGTCGTTGTCTTAGAAATGTATAGGTATGGCATAGCTTTTTTTATTTAGATACTTGATACAATAATTTACAAATAAAAAAAAAAAGGAAGGAGAAACAAAAAAATCAAATTGGCTTTTTGGAATTTCACTACATTTGAAATATTTGTTTTGTGGGGTGATATTTTTACAAATTTTGCAAATGTGGAAGGTTACAAGAAAAATTAAACAACCTTGGTATAAAAAAAAATTTTATTTATGTATTCAAGTGAGTTAAGTGAGCAGTTAACATTACTGCGACAGTGGCAATTGCACGAAATTTCCAAATATTGTTTATGTTTCTTGTAGGTATTCTGATTTAAATGCGTTGTTTTATATTACTACAGCATATTATGAAACCTGTAGTCGGAAAATTTTGGAAAATTGAATATTTTATCGCTGTATTTATGCGATTACAATAGATAAATAAACACTCATATTTGATTTTGAAATAAAAATTACAGTTAAAAATACAAAAACATCAAAATGGACTGAAGTACTAATAGAAAAATTAATAAAATCTTGTAAAATTAAGTCAGAACTGTAATTTATGACAAGCAAAATTATAATTTATTATCCTTACATTATCGCAAAAATACAAATTTGATACAGCTCTCTCACTTTCGCAGTTTTGCAAAAATATAAAGTGTTTATGAAACAAATAAAACAGATATGAGTTCTGATTCAATTCCTTGGGGAGTTAACAAGAAGACATTTGGAATGGAACATACAAAAAATATATTATAATTATCATTAAATAGAAGGGAATTGAAAACATTTAATAAAGTATGGCGTTATATTTTATAGAAACGATTTTTGCTAAAGAATCATCACCTTTCAAAAGACCTATTAGCTTTACTCAGATCCTTTAGCTCCAGATTGTTAAAACAATCAGTTCTTAAATCGACGTTAAACCGACTCTGTAACATTTATCATTTTTCTTTAAATGCAGCGGCGTAAATTTTGTAGAGTACTACGTTTACATTAAAGAACGAATTTGAAATTTAAATTGTCAAAGTAGTATATTTTGTCATTTTCATATAATATGATTTTATCGTCTGACTTATCTTATCTCAAAACTTGCCAAACTCTATGTGAAAAATACCTTAAAAAGCCAAAAATAAGCACTTTAAAAAATATGAAATGAGTCAAAACTACTGCCAACTTGTACGACAGCATTGTAAGAGTTTATAAGAAACATTGAGATTTTTTTGAGAAAAAATTGAGTAAGTTACTTGTAGTCTAGAAGTAGTATTTTTAAAATATGTAACAATTATTACAAATTTCTAAAATTTTAAGTTTTAGCTGCAATATAAATTAAGTTCGTGTCTTATAATTTTTCAGCCGGTCAGCCGGTTAGACCAGAGTTTTGAAGTGTGATTTTTTTCCAAGGCTACTGGTATTTTTAATGTTTAATCGTATTTTATGTTTCAGTAAATTTAATGACTACCGAGTTGACACGGTCGATTCAATCTTTTTCGACCATATCATATAAAATTTCCATTTTGAAATTCATTA